TCTGAGAATGATACCTGCTTGTTTGTATAACTGTTCTTTGGTAAAATTTTCTGAAATAATTCTTGATGTGAATTCTAGAAATTAGATTCTAGTTTGAATTACAGTTGTGAAGGATTGAGCCTAAACAGAATTAATTATTCAGATAGGCCTCACTGTAGTAGTTTTTCTTGAACTTGAATTGTTTCTCTGGCTTGCATGCATGACTGATATGATAAGAGCATTTATTCTTGTTAGCTTAGAGCCAAATAGCCTACCTAGAAGATTATCCATTGTTAAACCCCTTTGAGCCTGAGACCAATTGTTCAAACACCTATTGAATGTTGCTTAACTATGTTCCATTGATACACCTTGAGAGAGATTGAAATGCTAATTACAAAAACAAAAATCAAGGTCCTTTTCAGAGAAGAAAAACTTAAGTAAGAAAAAAAATGAAAAATGGTCTGAGAAGTTAAAATATAGCTCAGAAGAGAAAAGAAAACAAAAAGAAGAAAGGTAGTAAAAAAAGGGGAAAGAATCCCAAAGATGTCAAAATGACAGAATTGAAGAGCTGAGAAGAAATGAATGTAAAAAAATCTTAGGATTTCAGTCTCTCCAAATTATTCAGCCTCTAACCAAAAGATTCTTACCCCCAAACCAGACCAAGTTACAACCTATCAAAGACCTTTTTATCAGTTTATGCATGGCAGATGGGTTCTTCACTTTTAAGAACTGGAGAATATGTTCAAGATCATAGAATTGCTGCTACATTGATGGAATGAGTGCAGAAACCTCAGACACTGAGTGATGAGAATGTATTTATCTGGTGAGGAATATTCAAGCTAGGATCTAAGATCTTGATACAACTGAAGAGCATTAGTGTGAATTTTATACAGGACAGTTATACATGCATAGCAGTTTGATTCCTTGATATGTTTATGATCATGTATTTCTTCACAGAGTTGATCTTGCTCTTCTCTTTAAATCCATTACATTGCTGAGGACAACAACGTTCAAATCTGGGAATTGTTTGATGTGCCTTCAGCACATGGGTAAATTCAAGCCAAAAAGAGAAAGATTATGGGTTAATTCTCAGTAAAAAGGCAACGTTTAGTGTTGCTTTGCTTAAATTCCAATTTCAGAATTGTACAATTGATTTTATGCTTAACTTGTAGGAAAAGCAAACAAATCTGGAGCAAAATGAGGATTTTCCAAAGTAAAGACCCACGCTCACAGCGTGAATGTCATGCTGGTAGCGTGGGAATCCAGAGGCAACCACGCCCACAGCGTGGATTCCACGCTGATAGCGTGAAAAATTTCCTTCTTCCCACACCCACAGCGTGGATATCAAGCTGACAGCGTGGGCATCCAGAGGCATCCACGCCCACAGCGTGGATCTGACGCTGAGAGCATTAGCGTGCGAGACTGCACTTCTATTTTTTCTAAAAGGGTAAACTTGGAAGACCTAAAAGAGTATTATAAAAAGGAGGCTCAGCACAGAATTAGGTATCGAGACCGGAGGAGACCGTCGTGCTGAAGGAGAAAAGCTTCGGAGAAGAATTCTTGATCATCTTCATTCTTTCATCTCTCATTCTTTTTCATCCCATTTGTAACATCCCACGTAATTAGGAAAATACACAAAAGACCGTGAGGATAAGAATGCACGTGTGGAAAAATTAAATTTGATATATATATATATATATGTAATGTTTGTTGGCCTTCGAAATTATTGAGAACTAGCCTAGGATTAAAACTAAGTAGGAGATTATTGAATTATAGTACTAAGAGAGGATTTATTTTAGACTTATGAAGCTTTAATTCTAAGGTATAAGAATGTATAAATCATACCATAAGAAATAAAATATGAATTTTAACTACAAGAATTAAATAGGGCTTTGGAATGCATGATTTTATTGGGTTAACTATTGTGTTAGTATCAAATTGGGCTGGGATACTCTTATTCCCCCACAAATCTGTGTGGGCCGAGTTTTAAGACCCTAGGAGGTGCTCATGTAATCAGCCCAATTTCACTTCATTTTGTCCAAATTCTATCTTAGCCTAGTCATCCCACAAGGTCACTCTTTATTGGTTGGCTATCACACATGGCAGCCAACTCACACCTCTTATCTCCTTGTACGATGCGCTGTTTTGGGCAGAGGAGCAAGCTGATAACTTGTTTGGGTGGACAATCAAAATTCAGCTTTATGTCAATCTTAGTTAGCCTAATTTCTAACACCACTCAGCCTTAACACCTGCGCCCAATAAGGGAAGGGGAATGCAGTGTGCATGTATTGCCATTGGCTGGAAAATTCTGCACTTACCTTCACCCCTTTATGCGCTGAAGTGAGAAGAATGGCTTGGGAATTTGTGGTTTATTTCTTCTTTAAATTGGCACTTAAGACTTCACCCCTCCCATCTCTCATGCGCTGATTTGGTAGGAAAGGAGCTAGATCAAACCTTTAATTTGAGTTTCGGGACACTCAACTGTACCACCCTCTTTCTCTACCACAAAATTACACAACTTTCCTCCTACTTCAACACAAATTAGTTGTCATCACTATCTACTATTTTCATTCCTTCTCACACTTCAAAACCGAAGCATATGTACAGAGGGAACTCAAGAAATTATTTCACTTTTTCCTTGTATCCTAACTGAAAACCGAGGACCTCTTTAGAGTGATACCAAAAATTTAATCACACGTTGTCCCTGCCTTCTTCATTCGACGGTGCACCATTTGTTCCAAGAGGTAACACATTGTTTTGTCTTGTTGTTACTTATGTGTGGCAACCTCTGTCACCTTCTTTAAAGGAGATATTCGTTCATAAACTAACTCAAGTTAATTTCCCTCTCCCTATTGTATCCGCACGACCACTGTTTGAAGAGTGGGGCTGGCTATTTCGTGAATCATTAAGGGCTGAAGTGTTGTCCATTTGGTCTCCTTAGTGCACTAGTGAAAGGTAAGCACAAAATTTTGAACCTCCATCTCTGTCTTCTGTTCAGGCCGAGAAGCATGTATAGGGAGTGGTTTCTTATGTAATTTATTTTCTCTAGATTCCGCCATAATGAACCCCCAGATCTTAGTTGAAAGCATGAAAGCTTAGAATTAATTTCAGAACTTGGTAATGATCTTAAAGTTAAATGATGGGGCTGTTGATGATGGCTTGGTGTTCCTTTAAATTTTTTTGAAGCAAAATAATTTGGACAGCATGCCTAGGTCCCTTGTAGCGATCCTTGAATGAATTCGTGAGCTTTGGAAGAAATCATCCTTGATGCTTTGTTGAGATGAAATCGATTCTGCCTTGATAAAACTTGTTATAAACTAAGCTTTATTTAACTTATATATGCAGCATGTTGTTTAGTTTCCCTTCACACACTCCATGTGTTGTTAAGCTAAATATTTGAATAAACGTTATGAGCCTTGTATGATGAAACCGATTCTGTTTTGGACCAGCCTTATTGTGTGCTAAACTCCATCTAAGATTATGTAGACAGCAGAATAATAAGCTCCCTTTTTCGCATCTCTGAGTATAGAAATAGGAAATTGTATGAATAAAAATCTTGAGTAACTTCTATGTCAAAATCGATTCTGCCATGCTTAGGAACCTTGAGAAACCCTCACTGTTAAACGTTGGGAAGACTGTTTTGAAAGTCAGAATATTTTAGGAAAATAACATTGTTGGCCGAATGGATACATGAACCTTTAGGCTTGGAGAATTATTGGTAATTAATAGAGAAGGCTGAAACGTATTCTGATTTTGTTGCAATGTATATTAGGTGCGCAAAAGCCGTAAATTTTGGATTATACGCTGCTGTCTGGTACATTTAATTGTGACGTACGAGGTATGTGTAGGCGGTATTACCTTCTGTGACTATTGGCTAGTGTATGGAATTGTGATGTGTTGCTCACATTTGTTCTATGTATGTTATGATGATGATGAGCCAATGGTAAGAATATGAAAGGATGATATGATATATGCATGCATTTTACATCATAATACATTTTTCTGTTGGGTGCGATTGCATAACATGGCATGTATACTTGATTCATGACATCTTGAATATATATATATTTGTATTGAGGACATGTGACTGAGCATGCATCATATAGGCATGCCTGGTACCAGGAGAGGGGACACTTGGCTTCAGTCCGCATAGGTTCCACAATGGGATTCACCTTCATGGGAGCCATTAGGAATACCCACTGTGATGCTACGCGCACGACGGTGCTATGAGCGTAAAGGAAAAAGGGCGTTATATACGCGTTATGATATATGATGAAAAGGATTAGATGTTTGAAGTGACTATTTATGATTTTGTGCCTAGTTAATACTGTTGCATTTGGTTTTGTTGCCACACTACTGGGTTTATTCTCACCCCTTTGGGGCTGCAATATTTTAAATTGCAGGAGAACGTAAAAGCATTTGAGGACTTGGATGTTGAACTCGGTTATATTTTTGTTGCTGTCTGGATTTATTCTCTGTTGACTGTTTTAAGCTTGGGATGACTGTATTATGTGGTACTTGATGATTTTTGGATGACTGTAAAACTATGATTTATTTCTGCTTTAAGTCTTCTACGAACAGCGGCTATTTTAAGAAAATCTGAAAATGTCTTGCGAAAAGGAATTATTTTTAATGCTGAATTTTAACAGTTTACGGTCAACTTATGAGTTACGTTTCAAGGGGCGAATGACCTCCGATTTACTATTATTTTATATGCACGCGAAGCCCCAAGCGTCTACATTCAGATTTCGCTAACTGTACAAAAATATTTTGAAAAATCGATTTTATATTAATATTTAAAGGAATACGGTTTTCTAAAAATTTTAACCATTTTATCAGCAACACATTTTAAGTCCTTCCCATCAAAAATTTTCTTAGATTCAGCTTTCCACAACAACTTCTCAAAGATCTTTTCTTAGAAAAAGTTTTCATCCGTTTCCACAACTCGAATAACGATTAGCAAACGACTCTCTTGGATGCATACAGGAGAGGGTGTTTCGTGATATTGTGAGTGCAGAATCATGGCAGGTAATCGCGGTTCCACTCGGGGAAGGACTAACAATGTTGAAGAGGATCTTATCACAACAATTGGGGGATTGGCCACGTTCGTCCAGAACATGAGCCAAGAATGGCAAGAACATCGTCAACAGAACCAGAATCAACCCCCGCTGCATGACCATGCAGAGGAGATTGCCCGACGGAGGTTGAAGGACTTCCGTAACTTTCAACCACCTATCTTTGAAGGTGGAGACCACCCTGAGGCTGCAGCAAACTGGCTGCAGATGATCGAACATATCTTCGAACGGATGGGATGCCCGGAGGCTCAGAAGCCGGACTATGCCTCCTATCAGTTGACGGGAGAAGCATTGACATGGTGGACTGGCGCGAGAGCTCTGCTGCGAGCTCAGAATACTGAAGTGACCTGGGCTGTGTTCAGGAGGGTATTCTTGGACAAGTACTTTCCAAAAGCAATGCGAAGAATGAAACACACAGAGCTACTGTCTTTGAGGCAAGGGAACATGACTATCAATGAATACATTGCAAAGTTTGCACAACTGATGGAATATGCCAATTTTGACCGTAACATCTATGATGAGGAGTGGCAAGTGGAGAAGTTTGAGAGTGGATTGCATCCCGAGATCAGAAAGCTCATGTTGACCACGGCTATCCGTACTCTGCCCGAAATCATTAATCAGAGTCGGCAGGCAGAAGGCATTATCATGGAAGCAAGAAATTTGAATAGACAACCGGTGCAACAGCAGGGAGGAAACAGAGGGGGCAGATTCTTCAAGAAGAACACGGGAATGAACAAGGGAAAGGGTTCACAGATGCAAGCTCGGAATGGTAATTTCAAGAGAAATACTGCACCCGGTCAGTCATCAGCAGGACGTCAGGGTCCCAGTGCATGTTCTAATTGTGGGAAAAATCATGCTGGAGTCTGTTTACAGGGAAGCAACACATGCTACAGATATGGTCAACCTGGACATTTCGCTTCTAAATGTCAAAACTATGCAAGTCAGCAACCTACTCAGGCCAGAGTGTTCACCCTCGATGCTAATGAGGCGCAGAAATATCCGAATCTTATTCGAGGTAACATAATCCTTAACGGTTATCCAATTTCTGCTATTTTTGATTCTGGAGCATCTGGTTCGTTTATGGCAAAACATATAGCTATGAAGGTATAACCCCAGCTCCACTCCCCTATGAATTACAAATCAGTACTCCTACGGGGGGATCCTGTACAGCCTCAGAAATTTGCAGAGGCGTTCTTCTGGGGTATGAAGGAAGCATTTATACAATCAACTTAGTGGTTTTGCCGGTATTCAATTTCGAAGTAATTATCGGCATGGACTGGTTGGTGGAGAACAGGATCACTTTGGACTGCCAAGCAGGGAAGGTCATTGTTCCTCCGAGAGACGGTAATTTTCTGTCTTTTGCTACTATTTCTTTGTTGCAAGTTCGTAAAGAGCTCCTTCGGGGGGCGGCAGGTTATCTCTTGTCAATCGAGGCTGAGACCCTGGTTGAAAATCCAATTCAAAATGTACCAGTGGTGAATGAATTCGAGGAGGTATTCCCCGATGAAATTCCTCGATTACCCCCTCAGCGGGAAGTAGAATTTTCCATTGAGCTTATTCCCGGAGTTGGACCTATTTCCATTGCTCCGTATCGTATGGCACCTTTGGAACTCCGAAGTTAAAGAAGCAAATAGAAGAACTGCTGGCAAAAGAATTCATAAGACCTAGTACTTCTCCATGGGGTGCACCAGCCATTTTGATAAAGAAAAAAGAT